TCTTGTATTCACTACATTTTGCCATTTCGTATCCGATCTATTTGGCGAGCTAGCTTTGCTCAGTCTAAAACTACAGACAATCTGATTCTTCCTGTAGCAGTTGCATCAATTAAGGATGGTATGGAAACTGTTTCAAGTATGAAGGAGGAATACATTCCTGGGGGAATGTACGAAAAGTTTATCCTGTGTATTGAAGAACAACAGTCTGAAAATTTGCAGGGTAATCCCAAATTTCAAGGAGTTGAAATGACTGAGAGTCCTGTTTATGAGGCCAAAGAAAAACTAAAGAAGCATGTTGAGTCTACAGTTGACATTACAATCAAAGAACTAGAGTCAAGGTTTCAAAATCTGTTGGGAACAAGTGTAGATGCTCAAGGTGTGGTGAAAAGTTTCATTAAGGTGTTCAATCATGACACATGGCCAGAATGCAAAAGGGGACTTGTCCATTTTGGAAATCATGAAATAGATATTATTTGTGACTGGTTTGGAAAACCTCTTGTGGCTGCAGGATGCAATATGGAAGTTGTTCAGACGGAATGGAGACACATGAAATTTTTTGTTGCAAATACTTTCAGGGACAAGTCTTATTCTGATCTGTGGCAAATCCTACTGACCAAGGACCCATACAAGACTGACTTCTGACATCTTGTGAGAATAATGCTCACTCTTCCAATCAGCTCCACAGAGTGTGAGAGAGCCTTTTCTGCACAGAAGAGAATAAAGAGCGACATACGGAGCAGCTTGTCTGTACAGAGACTGTCAGACTTAATCTTGCTTTCTTCTGAAGGTCCAGATCTGGCTGAATTCAACCCAGAGAAATCCATTGACAAGTGGATGGCAAACAGCAGGAGAAGGATTGCTGTGGGGCCAGGACAGTGTGACTGGCCAGCTAACATTGTGTCTGTTGATCGAAAGTGTAAGGACAAAGCAGTACTGTTTGAAAACAAAAAGATTTAGAGTCACAAGCTATTGATTTGACAATTCAAATTGAGCAAGTGTTAAAGTGGGAGTGGAAATTGGAATAAAAAGGTAAATGCAATTCAATATTGGGCAAATGGAGTTATAAATTTTAAAAGATAAAATTTCAGTTTGAAACAGATAGAAATCAATTCAATGTCAGTAACACAAAGACACAGTATGTGTTTGCCAGACCATCTGGACATTTCCCTTTCCAGTCCCACTTTAAGATCTTAGATCAGCATTACTATAGTTAATATAGTTAATACTTCTGAGTGACATTTACCAACCTGATAGGGAAATTGAAAATAAGGTAAAAACCTGTTGTTAAGGAGTGTTACAATAACTGCAAATCATGACTGAATATTTCTAAATGACACCTTTGCCAGGTAACAGTTGAAGTGAATGTAATGTTTTTATGAGGTTGTTGTTGTTGTTTCAAGTTTAATAATATTGAAACTGATGCGACCCTCAAACATGCATTTGTCAGTTGACTGGATTATCCTGAGTGATATTTGACAGGTAACTGTAAACAGTTCTACAGTTTCTAGACTCAATATAATGTATGTATGATCTTTTTGTTCGAGGTTGTTGTTATGATCTTTTTGTTTGAGGTTGTTTAGTAATATTGAATCTGATAAGATCTTGACTTTAAATTTGCATTTAAATTTTGTCAGTAAGTTTACTGATTATTTCTAAATGACACCTTTCAAAGTTTGCCAGGTAACAATTGAAGTGAATGTAATGTCTTTTTGAGGTTGTTGTTTCAAGTTTAGTAACTAATATTGAAACTGATGAGATCTTCAAATATGTATTTGTCAGTTGACTGAAATTTGCCTGGTAACAGAACTGAATGTAATTGTTCTTGAAATTTCTAAATTTCCTCCCATAAATTTTGTATTGTCTTAGAGAATTAGAAAATAAAACAAAACTTCACCTGGAATTGTTTTATTCATAACATTAGAGTGAAATAACATTACATGGATTTGGCTAGTAAACGAAAATATTTAGATGTCAAAGGTCAACTAAAGGTAAATTTGTTCGTAGAGCCCTGTATGAAAAGTTTGATAAAACTCTGATATTAATTATAGGTTTCTAACTATAGCCAGTTAATGCCCAAAATCTCAAAAATATCTGCTGTTGATTAATTTTTTGACCAACAGGAGAAAAATCTTCTTCACCAATGTATCTGAGTATGCCTGTCTGCTCAGGCAGATAGCCAGTCCCTATTACAGACACCTTCTCAGACACATTTGTGCTTGTTCAATACCCACAGAGCTTTAACTATGTTGAGTGGACCTTAGTTACAGTTTCTGGATTAGTGCACATTATCGAGCATGATCAATACACTGAACATGGCCAGTATGCCCAAACCCTCGGTCATGACGACTTGTGACTTAGTGCTAGCACAAACATCAACGGCTCCCAAATACTTCTGTCAGTTTCATGCACAAGGCTTGGTTCAACATGTGGTGTAGTTTTCAGGCATTTTCAAAATGGGCTACATGAGATCGCAACAAATCAATCATGGTGAGATTTGAACCTGACAATGGTTCTCAAACTTTTTTCTCTGGGACGATTTCCAGAACAAAAATTTGCTTGAACCTCACCTAATTTTATATGATAAAAAGTACATTTAAAAATAAAAAACAAAGGATTAAAGGGAGATAACTGCTGATTCAAAGTCAGAACATTATCATTGATAACTCTCTCTTCCAATTTGTGGAGCTGAGTTACTATATACTTAATACTTGATATAATGCAAAAATATCACAATGATAAAATCGGTCAATAATTATTTATAACTATTTATGCTGGGACTCATGCATGTGATTACAAATAATTCATAATATTTTAAATTTTGAAATCATTTATTTTTGGCTTATGAATTTTTTAAAACTGTTTCTAAATCTTTGATTCTGTTTCAATCATTCTGCCTCACCTGCTATCCTCTTCCACCACACATTTGAGGTGTGCCACACCATTTGGGAACATCTGGAACCCGGTAACATGGTTGGAAAGTAAATATTCTAACAACTCAGCAACAAGTACAAGTTTATCGCTTCTAGATTAGCATTAGTCTCAATTTTTCATATAAACTTTCCTTATTTACATTTAATATTACAGTATTACGTAGATAAGGTAGGTACAAGTATTGGTAGTCTATGGCATCTAGATTAGCATATTCACCACCACTTTATGGTGAGTAATAATTTATTTTTATCCTTGTTCTTCCTCCCCCTTTGTTTTAATATATTTGTATATATTAATATATACTTTTAAAATCATCAGGTGGAGAAATCTCTCTCTTCCTGATGATTGTAGAATCACGAAACTCTTGGTTGTCGTGGTAATTAGAAACGCTTTCTTTTTAATGACTTGATTAGATGTGGACGTAAATCTGTCGAAATGGTCAATTTGGTTTTGAATGGTATGTCTTAGTAAAAGGAATTCTCCATGCATATCTTAGATTTCAAATATCTGAGTTGAAGAAAAGATTTTAAATTTGTTTTTTAATGTTTCCTTGAACAGTCAACTCCACACTCCATCTCACTTTCTCACTCCCACACACTTGCACCCCAATCGGTCATAAACTTGGGATGGTAGTCAGATGTAACCTGAAAGATAATTCCATTTCTTAATAGGCACCGATTTACTAAAAGTCAAGACTTTTGTCCAAATGGAAGTATTCTCTCCACACATGCACACACACACACACACACACACACACACACATATATATATATATATATATATATATATATATATATATATATATATATATACACACACACACAGTTTGGGGCTATGGGGCTATCCTGCATTTCTTGAAAAACACCTTAAAATGAGATATTTATTTTCAGTAACTACAGTGTATTTGCTTTTATTTTTCAACCTTTCTCCAGGTTCTCCCCACTTTTATTTTTTTAATCATTTCATCACAAGCACAGCAATAAAACCACAAAGACAAAGGCTTATTGAGTGTTAGAGAATATAAGAAAAAAACACTATTAAGGAGAGAGAACAATAAAAGAACAAGAATTAAGAAGGGAGAAGATAACGATTGATGTTGCATTTAAATAATTTTTGAAGATCAAAGTTGACTGGAAAACAAGAATCCAGAAGAAAGTTCTACAAGTGAGAAGCGTGAGAGAAAAAAACTGTTAGCATATAATTTAGGTTACATCTAGTTATTTCAACTGTAAAATGATGAGACCTAGCTGCCAATCTAGTATTGCATTAAAATTCTAGGTACCATAGAGGAAATGTCATCAGAACAATTATCATGAATTTATTTGTAGAAAAGGTACACAGGTAAGCTACATTATGCCAGTGGGAAAATGACTTAAACTGAGATACCAGGTTATGACCAATAACATAACAGATTCTTCTTCAGATTTTATCAGGAATCTCTAAATATATAGCAAGAGCACCAGACTAGATGTGGCAGTAGTATTCAAAGCAAGTACAAATGGTAAATTTATAAATGTGTAAAATAGATTCTGGTAAGAAAAATTGTCTCGCATGACACACTACCAAAAGGTTCAAATTTGGATTCACCAGATTTGATGACCAATAACAGATAGTTTGTTTTTTTACTATATATTAGAGCCATTGGTGTTAAATTTTAAATCATCCCACTCCAAGTAGATCTCTGCTTTTTTTTCTGTTAGCTTGTATACTGCATTGCGCCACTATTGTTTTTACGATGATCGGTGATGTTAGGTATGATCCTGTTTTTTGGTCTATTGTTGAGAATTATGAGATTAGTGCATTTTCTTCTTAGCAAATCCTTTTCTCTCTTGATTTATTAAGTTGAAATTGTGGTCAGATGCATTCCAGTGAACTACCAATGTGCTTGAAAGGTTGCTATGAAGCCTATTTCTGTGAGGCTCATATATATATACATGACTGTCAAAAATTATCAAGACATTAACATCTGGTAAACCTGACTGAGTTTTTTTTGTTTTTATATTATCCTAAAAATATATTTTCTGTTTATTGTTTCATTTCTTTCAACCCTTTTATTCTTTAATTGCTAGAATTGCTATCGAAGTATGTGGACGTAACCAGTGTGCTCTGAATCAAAATCGCTGGTTACTAGGGATTTATCGTACCAAACTCCGTCAGCTTTCAGCAGTGGGCTATGAAGTTTTGTTGGTAAGTATATTGATTATTATTATTATTATTATTATTAGCCATGATCTCCAGCATCTTGAAGAAACTTGATGCAAATGGTAGGTAAATGAAGGACAAAATATAATAAAACTCTAAACGACTAAATAATGCTTTTATCACAGGAATCATATACACAGAGGCAGAGAGAATGAAATACATCAAATGTTAGTTATTATTCTACAGTAGGGAAATGCTAAAGATACAGGGACACTTAACTTTAAAATCTTGGCACCTGCTGTATCTCAATGCACAATCTACCTCATTCAGCTTTCTGCTACTTTTGTTTTTATCTCAATTGTTTTAAAACAAAATTTATTAAGGCAAAAATATATTGAAAATGCACTAATTTCTGAGTCTTCTACAGTAATTTTTTTACAATAATGTTCACTCTGTACAAGGCTCAAGAGTCACTCAAGGTACAGGATTACAAGCTGCTTTGTCAATGAATACTGAAATGTTTGCTTATATCAAAACATCTAATATTACCATTTGTCACTGTTCTGCTATCTATTGACACAAATTTGTTAAGTAGATTACTCAATATTTCTCCTTGCTTCTCTTGCATTCAATATGTTCTGTGAGAGTTTGATTCTCCAAGTCCTCTTTCCTCATTATGTGCTCCAGAAATTTCAACTGTCTCTTTCTGATTGTAAATGTAAGTTTCTTTATAGATCCTATTTTCTTTAAAACTCCCTAATTATTCATATGCTCAGTCCATGGTATTCTTAGCATTTGCTGGTAAAGCCACATCTGTTGCTTCATTTTTCTTCACCTGTGAGGAAATTGTCTAGCATTAACTGCTATACAGAAGATTAAGTGTTACATAGAATTTCAGTACTTTTTTGTTTTTCGTCTGTTTCTGTTATTTTCCTTTGTCTTAATACATTGCTTAGTTTTAGACATCTTTTACTATTCCTATATGCCTGTAGATTTCTGTACTACATTTTCTGTCATCTATTATGACACTGCCCAGATAGTTGAATTTCTGTACCTGCTTGACATTAACATCCCCAATATGTAGCTCATGTCTTGACCTGTCTCTTTTGCTGACGACCATGCTTTCTGTATTCTTAGAATTAATAGTTAGTTCTTTTTTCTTGGTTTCCTATGAATAACACTTGCACTAACTCCTCATGGGCATGTAGCAGAATCTCACTATGATCAATTTGTCAAGGAGATGACTTCTTCCTAATATCAGCTTGGCAAGATGATTCCAGAAATTTGGGAATTGCCTGAAAACCATTTTACAGATTGACTTGAAGCCTTGTGAGTGAAATTGGTTACATAAAACGTTTTGGATGCTATTGATGATGGAGTCATTGTAACCAAGTGTTGAGTGTACAAGCCTTGTTCAACTACTATCTATATAATACTAAAAGTCTGTGATTTCATGCTTGTGTGGTGCATCTGTTCAGCACATAAGGATTTATGAGTTGTTTATACAGTAAGTATTTTTATTTTAACTTTCTTGAAACAGACAATTTTTTAATTAAAATATTTCTAAGTTAAAGACAGACACAAAGAGATCCTGGTTTGTTGTTTCATCCAGTTGTTTGTAGAGTAATTATTTATATTTCAGCTTTCTTTAAACAAACAATATTTAAATATTTAAAAAATATTTTTTGGTATATTTAAAAAAAATTTCAAGTGAATATGATTTAAAAGTATTTTTTGACATATTGAAAAAATATTTTTTAAGTTAATCTAATTTAAAGTTAAAGTTTATCACGGAAGTTCTGTTCCTATTAAATGCTGTAAACAATCAGTAAAATGTGAACTTTTAAACCAGACCAGTGATGACACAAACAAATAGAAATATCTGAATCATAATAAAATTAACTTTCATTTCAATGGTATGTTGAAATCAACTTCAATATTTTATAACCTGAACTATCAGTAACCCAACGGGTCATGGGTAGTTTAGTTGTATATATATATATATATATATATTGATAACCGTAACCCAACCATTTTGAGATTTAAACCTGGATCATATGGCTGGAAAGCGAATATTCTAACCCCCTCAGCCATGCTCTCATAAGTTTTAATATTTGTTCAATAAATCTTGCCCATCATATCACAGATTACATAAAAAACATGACATAAGAAGGACAACCAAAGATGCAGGCTGCAAATTGGAAATATTAAAATCAAGCAAATTCAGAAATTTAACTATCTGGGAAGTGTTATAACAGACGATGGAAAATGTGGTACAAAAATCCAAAAGGTGATTTGGAATAGGGAAAGATGCCTTCCAAAAGCTAAAGAAAGTATTAAGAAACAGGAAAATTTTATTAGAAACACAGAAAAAAGTGCTGACCTGCTGTGTAATCAATCCTCCTATATGGCTGTAAATGTTGGACAATTTCTTCACAGATGAAGAAGAAAGATTAGGCAAAGAATTTTGGCTTAATTGAAGATTGTTGAGAATACCATGGACAGAGCATGTAAGCAACAAAGAAGTTTTAAGGAAAATGGAAATGAAAAGGACACTCATACTTAGAATCATTAGAGACAGTTGAACTTTCTAGGACACACGATGAGGAAAGAGGTCTTGGCAAATTTGACACTCACAAGACATTTTGAAGATAAGAGTGGAAAGGGGTAAACATCAAGACACCTACCAAATAAGTTTGTAAAGATGGATGACTAAACAGATTTGGATAGATAGGAAGTGGACACACAATACTTAGAGCTACAAAGGATACAAAGTTGTGGAGAGCCGTGATCACCAACATCCTGAAGAGACTCAACACATAAAATAAGATCAATTAATAATGTCATTTAACACACTGTTAAGCTGTTAACCATTAAACAAGCTGACAAACAAAAGATATTTATTAAATGGTTACTGCAAATTTTACTATATGTTATTGACAGAAGTTAAGAAGATTATGTTGCAGCAATTTTCAAAGTGGAGAGAACATACATGCTTTTAAAATCAGCATTTAGAGACATGGTATTGTGCTAAACAGGTTCCTTTTATGGTGTACTTCAGCTCTATACTTCTATTGTCTCCGTCTGAACTCTGGAATTTTATTTACCGTTTTTTTTCTCCTCAATAAGAGTAGATAGGTTTTGCCTATCATCCAGTTCAGACTCCTGTCTGACTTTTTGAACAGGAATAGAACTTTATCCCTTGTTCTCTGCTTAGGATTGGGTTTCTGGTTCCTTCTAAAGTCTTTTCATTCTCTTTCACTCCCAGTAGCCCCTCTTTTATTTTGTTTTTCAAGTCCTGGGATATTTATCTTAGCTGTAATTATTTTAATCAATCATTTTTAATTAACTTAATAAATCGCTCTTTGGTTGTATCTATGACTCTTTTTATTTTTCATATCTTGGGATATTTTTTTCTTAGCTGTAATTATTTTAATAGATCATTTTTAATTAACTTAATAAATTGCTTTTTGTATCTTTTTATGAGTCTTTTTGTTTTTCATGTCTGGGGATATTTTTTTCTTAGCTGTAATTATTTTAATAAATCATTTTTAATTAACTTTGGTTGTATCTATGATTCTTTTTGTTTTTCATGTCTAGAGATATTTTTTTTGTATCTTTAATTATTTTAATAAATCATTTTTAACTAACAAATAAATCATTCTTCAGTTCTATCTTTTTAGGAATCTTTCTTCTTTTTTTTTTGCTTTTTGGGATTTTTTTGTTGTATGCTTTCTTTTTTTTTTTACTTTGATCATTTTCAAATATTTGAATAATTCTCTCTTTTGTTGTATCTTTATCTGGATACATTTTTTTAACCTTGATCTTGTTCAAACAAATCCTTTTAAATTTGAAATGATTACCATATTCTGAGAAGCAGTGAAGGCTGCATACTTAGATAAAAATTACTTACCCCAAAAACGGGCACATATTCCGCATGACATGCTGAAGATGGAATATTTAAATTAAAAAACAAGTCTGTCACAGGAGTCACTATAAAAGTATTTTGATATGCAAAAATTGAACGTCCTCTCCCAGCTGTTGATAAATTGAAAAAATGCTTGACCGATAAAAGCGGTTGGTGTTCTCGAATTAGGGGAAGTCAAGTATTTTGGCTACTGTGTTTGTTGGAGAGTGAGTTATTATTCTGACTGCTTGCACGCATTGTGATTTGTGAGATAGTACCTGCAAATCGAGTTTTCATCATTTCTTTCTGCCCCCGATGTTTGAGTCTGAACTTAGTGATTTATTCTCTGCGTTGTGGAAATAATCTACAACAAATATTTCCTTTGCAATCCCAGTTCGCTTACATTCAATAACCCCTGTGAGTGTCAAATTTTCTCAGCACTCTTTCTTCATTATGTGTCTCAGAAAGTTCAGTTATTTCTTTCAGATTCTCAATGTGTCCTTTTTTTGCTTACATTTTCCATAAGACTTTGTCATTGCTCATATGGCGTGCTCAGCATCCTTCTGTAGAGCCACATTTCTTTTGCCTACAGTTTCTTCTTCATCTGTGAGGACATTGTTACTGGAGGACAATATTATAGGAGGACTGATATTATATAACCGTTTGATACTGTTTCTTTTTTTTTTTTTCTTATAAAATTTTCCTATTTCTTTAGTATTTTGCTTAGATTTTGGAAGGTGTCATTGATTTTCCAATGCACCTTTGGATTTCAGTGTTGTTATTTCTATCCTCTGTTAAAACACTTCCCAGATATATAAATTTTTGTACTTGCTTTATTTTGGTCTATCCAATTTGTAGGTCGCATTTTGGGTTGTTCTTTTTGCTGACGATCATACATTCTTTCTTTTTTAGAATTCTTCTTGCTTCCCTTTACCACCTTCTGTAGTTTCCACTCTATGTCTGCTATTAAAACTGTGTCAGCTGTATATCTTATGTTGCTGAGATTGTGGCCACCAGTAATGACTCCTGATATGGACTTCTAATTCTCCCAGGATCACCTCACTTTTAGAGTTGAATGTCTTCTTTTCCTACATTTTTTTTTTCCTTCTTAAAACAAAATGTTTCAGTTTTTAATATG